TCCTTTGTAAAAAAATTTTCATTTTCAAAAACGCATTTTGAAAAATAAGAAAGAGAACGCGTTTTCACTATTTTGGAAAATTGAAAACAGAAAACGGCTTGAAAACGACAAAGAGAACAGGGCCTAATGTTTCCTTGTACATCAAAATTAAGAATAATAAAATATTCTGAAAATGAAATCTGAATACTGTGTTTATCACAAAACATTGTCGACATCTCTTGATTCTAGATTTCTTGATTACTGAATGTGTTGGAAAGTCTTGAAGAAGATTATACATTAATCTTCAATTTCTTGGATGTCATCAAAAAAATTATGCAACGGTATAATGTCGCTTACTAGAAAATTAAGATCAAGAATAGATCCCGAATGTCATATTCGGACAATGGATGTGAACTTCAACAATTTCATGAAGTCAATTCTTGAGTATCATCTATCTTTGTCTTGCTCAAATTTTGAATATTTGAAATGATATTATTTAAATTTGTAGGCTGTGATGCCATGGATCCAGTCCACTTAAGGCAATGATGATTGGTCTTCGGCCCATTTCTTATATTCTAATCAACTGAAGTAAGCCCAGTGAAACCAGCCCAGAACCCAGTCCAAACTTAAGTAAAAGTCAACTGCTGAGACGTTGGATTTGATATGCCTAATCTCGAGGTTTTGATATTTGAGGAATTCTAATCGTTTCTAGAATTCATTCTATTTACGCTCTATTCTCTCTTTCTTCTGGAGACTTCTGAGTGCTCTCCTGTTCATCTACTTCTTCGTGAGGTTTACTCTAGAATCAGTTTCTTGAGTTGTTTTCTTTGTGAGATTTGTGTGTTTGTAAGGCCTGTAGTGTGGTAGTGTTGAATCCCTCAATCTCATTGAAGTAGCTTTGTGTTTACGGTTTGAATGTGGGGGGGTTCTTGTGAATCTAGGCTTACAGTGTTGACGGAGTTTAGATTAGATGTTCTGAGCCTATAAATCTGTGAAATCTTAGCTTTGCAGTGGTTGATCTGTTGTCAGACTAGTTTAGGGATTTTGTGTTCTTGAGATTATTCGAAACTTTAGATCTGTAATATTTGAGTTACTTCTATTGTATAACAAAATTTAACCTCTTGCGTGTTTTCGTACTTGATTTTATCAAAATTGATTTAAAAATATCATTAATTGAACTATGAACAACTTAATTTTTCTGATTCTTGGAAGATTTTCGATTAGACCTCATGATTTGAATGGAAAATAATCTTATTTTTAGTTTCTAGTCAAAGTGAAAATCTAAACAATCTTACTATAGGTAGGACGGAATAAAATTCTTACTTTAGATGGGAGAGAATACATGGTCCATGTTTATCCTATATTTCTTAAAATTCATATTCAACCACATATTTTATGGAATCTATAATTTTTATCGATTTTTCAATCACGTTTCATTCATTTTTATACAAATTTATTTTAAAAATTGACTTTTATCCAAGCCAAACAGGGTCTTAATTAGTACAACCCAGTCAAAATCTTAATACCAACCTCAAAAAAGGTCAAATGTACTCGATGAACGAGAAATTGTTAGTGCCAAACTCACATCATTTGCCCCCTTGTCCAACTAGAAAATCAAAAATTGGGATTTCATAATAAGGGGTTTAAGACTGTCCCAAGTCAAAATCGTTACTTTAGAACCATGAAAGATGGTGGTTTGACCCTGTGAGGTTAATGAAAAGTGTGATTATCTTATTACCCTAAACTCATTAGTATATGACCACACGTGTTTATGCAAAATACGAAGAAGAAGAGGAAACACGACAATTAGTGTGTGTTTGTTTGTTCATAAGATATCGATCGGTTAACTTCATTTTACTTTTTACTTACATGTGCGGGAAGTAGAGTATCATATTCCTCCTCTAAGCTTTTATTTTTCATTTTTTACTCCACTCGAGAAGATTTGGCCAAAAAAAGCAACGGCCAAACCAAAAGGCGGTTTTTCGAAAGAGAAACAATTTATTTATCGCAAGTATTTAACACATCAGTTCAAGTGAAGATCGAATTCAACATTTCATGGAAGACCTCACATATTAAATTTCCACACATAAGGTAAGTATTGAACTCTGAACTATTGCTAAAAGTTTAAGATCAAAGCATGAAAAGCATATGCTTATATTGAGCCACAAAAAATAGTAAACTCCAATATTTATACACTTGTAAGCACACCCAATCAGGGGCGGATTTAAGCCCAGCCCAGACCAGCCCAGCCCAGTCCCCCAAGCCCATTTAAAAATTTTAAGGGTAAAAAAGAAAATTTTGTGTGATTTGTTTTATTTTTCATACATATTAACCCGACTTTAAAAATAATAATAATAATAATAAATAAATTAGTCCAGTCCTGAATCACACCCAACAAATGGATGAAAAGAAAAGTGTAAAACAAA